GATACTGTAAATACTGTAAATACTGTAAATACCATTTAAATACCATGATACTGTAAATACTGTAAATACAATTTAAATACCATGATACTGTAAATACTGTAAATACTGTAAATACAATTTAAATACCATGATACTGTAAATACTGTAAATACTGTAAATACCCATTTCCACATCACTTTTCAGATTTTAATTATATTTCCAAATTTACAAAAAGCTGTTTCTGTTTACATGTTTACATTGGTAGTTTTGTGATGGCAGTAGAGCTTCAGTTGGAGTTTTGATTGGATGCTCAACCTTCTATATCTGCATTTATTTTAAATATTAAAGGAAATACTGTATTTTACAGGATGAAGATATTCAGAAAACGTATTTATTGCATTCCCCTTTCTTCTGTTTTCCTCTAACACAGATCTCTTTTCTCACATGAAGATGAAAGAGTAATGCAGAAAGGTTTATGTGTGTCTACACAGTGGGGTGATTAAGTTTTCACAGGGTCATTTCTGGGGTGGATTTACTGCCACACTCATTCCTAGAAAGGCTGGTAACTGTCGAGAAAGTTCTCCACCTGTGGAGACATAATCTTTATGTCTTTTTTGCATGTTTGTCACACTTCAATGTGTCAGATCATCAAACAAATCTGAATATTAAACAAAGATAACACGAGCAAACACAAAGTGCAGTTTTGTTCTCAGAGAGAAAATAAACACAGATCCAGAATTTAGTAAATGAAGAACACAAGAATCTTCACAGAAGTCAAAACACGGCTTCATAGTAGTGAAACCTTGTAATGGGCACAGAAGCAGGAGGGTAACGAGACAACTACAAAAAAGAGACCAATAAACCGATGGATCAAACTCCATGGTGATGAAGAAAAGACGTGCAAACCAGAAATAACTTTGCTTAAGTAGCCAGACTTTATATCCCCACTGTGTGACGTTATAGTGTTGTGGTAAGTGGTCATTGTACTAATGAGCAAAACCAAATTGGCTGCCCAGCCCACTGGCGACCTGTCCAGGCTGTACTCTGCCTTTCATCCCATGGCAGCTGGGATGGGCTCCAGCACTGCAGAGGACCTGAATTAGATACATGGAATAAAATAGATGGATGGAAATGGGCTATCTGATGAACCTTGAGGATGGTTTGATGGTACAGGGTTCCACTGTTACCTCACACCATGCGGGTTCTGGTATCAAACCTCCAAATTTGCTGGGGCATCAATTTGGCCAAAGGCATGTTTGATGAAATAATGAGTCTGAATTGTTTATAGGTGTGAATGTTAGAGTTTGTGGTTGTCTGTCTCTGTCTTAGAAAACTTATTCAATTCTAGCATTGGGAAAAAGCACTGATATTGATATTTGGCTGCAATTGTCAAAAAGCTTTGCAAAGTTAAGTAATCATTTACCCCAGAGGAACCATTTCTGCTTCAGCAGACCTGAGCTGTAGATCTAGACCCGTAGCATCAAAACGTCTTTCTGTATTTAATCATACTTGTTAAGCTTATCACATAACGAGTACTACTGCACCAAAAAAAATGCTTCCATGAAAACTTTTCATTTTATAATTATTTTCTTTCAGAAAACCCCTTTTGATATCTATAGACGCAAGGTAAGTCTTGCTATTGAAAAATTAAAAGTATGCATGCATAAATACACAGCTTTAGCTGTACATAGGTACAAAGGTACTTTAGAAATGGAAATAATCCAAATAACAATTCTGTGTGTGTTTTTTCTAGAACATGTTCTATCAACAAGCTATCATGAGGTCCAAGGTCAAATCTAGCGTCTCCCTGGGAGCGTAAGTTTCTTTCTGGTACCAAGACACAGATTAACCCAGCAGATGGCCCCGCCGCTCCCTAAGCCTGGTTCTGCTGGAGGTTTCTTCCTGTTAAAAGGGAGTTTTTCCTTCCCACTGTCACCAAAGTGCTGCTCATAGGGGTCATCTGATTGTTGTGGTTTCTTTGTGCTATCAGCTGATCTTTACCTTACAATATAAAGCACCTTGAGGCGACTGTTGTTGTGATTTGGCGCTGTGTAAATTAACTGAATTGAACTGAACGTTGGTTCTACTTGTTCGTTGGGTTTTAAAAACTGGGATATATCGACAAAGAGTGATTCAGAAAACCCCTATGAGAAGACCATCGAGGGAACAGTTCACTCTGCCCGGGATAGAGTTACCAGGGCCCCGGCCTGGAGCCAGGCCTGGCCCTGGAGGGTGCCCGAGGGCGAGCGTCTGGTGGCTGGGCCATAGTCCATGTGGCCCGGCCGGGCACGGCCCTAAAAAGGAGGCACCGTAGGGGTCGATTGCATTGTGAGCAGGGCAGCAGCCTGGCAGACCGATCCCCGGCTACCAAGACTGGTAATTGGGACATGGAATGTCACCTGTCTGGTGGGGAAGGAACCTGAGTTAGTGCATGAGGTTGAGAGGTACCAGCTAGATATAGTCAGGCTAACCTCAATGCACGGCTTGAGCTCTGAACCCAGTCTCCTGGAGAGGGGCTGGAGTCTGGAGTTGCCCCTGGCGAGAGGCGGTGGGATGGACCGGGTATCCTGGTATCCCCTCAGCTTGCTGCCTGTATGTTGAGGTTTCCCCCAGTGGATGAGAGGGTTTGTTCCCTGTGCCTTCAGGTCGGGGAACGGGTCCTGACCACCATCTGCACTTATGCGCCGAGTGGTGGTTTAGAGTACCCAGCCTTCTTGGAGTTCCTGGGTGGGGTTCCGGAGCTCCTCCTGGGGTCTCTGTTTTCCTACTGGGAGACTTCAATGCTCACGTGGGCAATGACAGCGAGACCTGGAGGGGCGTGATTGGGAGG